TATGCTTGTCGCATTCAACCACGGCCTACGATACTGTTGGGGCAAGATGCTGAGGTTGACATAGGGTATGGTATAAGCGCTTAAGATTTTTGATTAGCTTTTTTATTCTTTACAAGTATGTCTTTTCAGTGCGGTGAAAGCTGAGTTGAGCAAACTTCAAGATAGAAATAGCGGAATTCAGGAAGAAATTAAAAGGGTAAGGTCTTTGAGGGTTTCTTTTAAATGTGTAAAATGCAATGTTAAAGGCTGCTGCCAAAGTGGGAGAAAAACAGATAGAGTTAGGCAAAGCTATGCAAGAGTATGGTGCGGTAGAGGCAGACTTAAATCGCCTTCGAACTCAATATCGATCGTTGGAACGAACGCTCGAACAACTTGAGTTGGATGATGATTTGTCAGTAGTGGACAACATGGTGCGTTTAATTTTAATATGTTACAAAGTGATTCGATTGTGATAATTTTGCGCCGCGAGTAGAATGAGCAGCACTTTTTGTTGAACTCCTCCTTGCATGACAAACCTAACCCAGTATACTGCTGAGAGAACCATATAAGAGCAGATTATTAATGGGATCTCTTCTTATATACCGACTATTTTAGCGAAAAAGTCTGGATGAACTCAATAACCAAATAGCTGAGCTAGAAGAGGAGTTTACGAAACTGAATGCGGTAAAGATCTTACAAAGAAAAGTCTTCTCATCCATTCCGCTTATTTTCTTCTTTTCAGAGCACTTCTCAAAAGGAAAATGAAATCCAAGAGGTAAATGAAGAGCTCAATGCATTGAGAGCAAATTTCGCTGAAGCAAAGAAGAGAATTGCTGACCTCGAGGTTTGTTTCAAAATTGACTCCGTTGTTTTCCACGTATCCCTTTTTTTTCTTTTTGTCCTAGAATGAAGAGGAAGATATTATCGAAAAGGGTAGGAGTATTGATGCAGCGGTCGACTCAGATAAAAGGCGATTAGAGCGAATACGAGATGTGAGTTTAGATTTCTTGCTTACCATAACTAGTTTGGATCATGTTCATTTTCAGTCGCTGGCAAATATGGAATTATCGAGCAAGCAACTCCAAGAAGAAAAGGTGAATGCAGAGGAGAGGGTGGGTGCAAATGTTTAGCCTGATCATACCTGGTTTTATTTCTATTTTTTCTCCTTACTATATCGAAGCT